GCCCGAAACGTTGGTTTGTTTGAAAAAACAAATATACGCGATTTAAACACTAAAAAATACTTTCATTTCATTTATTCTTAGAGCCATCTTTTCTTCTTGAATTAGAAAGTTTAAAATAATATAAGTTTTCTTATTTAAATATCGTATACTATCAAAATAATGCAAGTTTTTATATTGATTTTATTACATAACATTCTTAATAAGCTAAAGAAAAATAGTTCGTTAATTAAGAACATGATAAGTGTTAAAAATGGGACATAATTTACAAAACTCTCAGATTATCAAATTTACAGGTGTAAAAAGCTCCGAGCACGTGAGCTCAAATTATATTTTTGTCACTTTTCGCTTAGTTATGCCAAAACTATAAAACCAGTTCTTCTCCACTAGACTACTACTCGACCGCGCACATTTTGCTGCTTTGCATTCACCATAAGACACACAAACAAGTAACGTAGTGCAGCACAAAAAGTGTGACGCGTGTGAGAGAAAAGTTTGTTTATCTCTGTTACCCTTTTGCTCCGTTTCACTTCGAACGATCCAAAGTCTAAAGTGTCAAGCTCGACGTGCTCTTGACTGTGCGAACTGAGTGAATGAATAGTCACAAAGCTGCCAATAAAACATCATACTTTTAACATAAAAATAAATAAGCTTACTTTAAGCGCGCGTCATGGTACGAAACGTCAGTGTAAGGTTTTAAGAGGTTGTGGTAGGCCCCCAGGACGGCAGGAACGCACCCCAGAGGCCCCTACAGCCCCTCTAGGACTCTTCAGCGCCCACAGGGGACCATTTTGGGAAACTGTGCTAGAGTAGAGTGTGAGAGTGACGTTCACTCGTCGTTCACGGTCCACCCTCGAGAGCCGTAGCATGACTTCGAAATTTGATTTCATGTTACAATAATACTTGATAAACAAACATTCATAAGCATAGACTTACCAAGGGTCAAAGTATGTGTTCCTTTGTGCTGCAGGCACATGCCCTATTTTATATTTCCTCATCATTTCTCTGAAACAAATTAAATTATACTTCTACACTAAGGTACACCAATCCAACACCTTTTATATTTGTACATAAATGTCCACTAGCAAATTATCGAGCCATCCAAATAAATCGCATCCACTTAAATTGCTTGAAATCCTGAACGAAAAAGAATATACTCCTGACGGAGCTCAAATTTGGAATTCCGATCTGTGACCTGTGATAATTGAGGCCAAAGGTTAGGTCATGTCCTCTATGGGAAACATATTTAATTATAAAATGTACAAAACTGTAAAAAAGTAACAAAAATATTTTTACAGAACAGAGTAGAATAGAACAGGATATAATAGAGTAGAATAGATTAGAATAGAGTAGAGTAGAGTAAAGTACAGGAGAATGAGTAACGTAGAATAGAGTAGAAGTAGGGTAGAAGTAGTAGGGTAGGGTAGGGTATAGAATGGTAGGGTATGGAGGTGTGTGGTAGGGTGGGGTAGGGTAGGGTAGGATAGGGTAGGGTAGGGTAGAGTAGAGTTGAGTACAATAGAATAGAATAAAATAGAATAGACTATAGTCCGTTTTTAGTGAAGATGGAAAAATTTGACAATTCGTTGCGCAAAAGTGTTGCCCGTTCTCAAGTAGCTAGTGATCGCAGTCGATAAATATGAATGAATGAATGAATGAATTATCGACTGAATATTGGTTACGCTTACGCAATGATTGTCCGAACTTGTTAAATTTGAATCATCATCGGCCCATTATTCGTGCCACTGCTGGGCTACTATTGCTTTTATTTTTTTTATTATAAATTAACATTGAAAAACGTAAAAAACTGTATAATAAAAATATACGTCATCTTTACTTATGCTGGTAATTGGTATATGCGAGTCGTTATTATATTACTTATTATAGACAAAAGTAGCTACTAAAATTTAAACAAATAAATAAATTGCCGCACGGGCACAGCGGGCCGGCAGAATTTGCCGCATTCGACTACCACTCTTTGGCTTGTTCGGATGTGCTCACTTGCGCTCGCGCTTATTACGTTTCTTTTGTTAGTTCACGTTATTGTTTTCTGTTATCGTGTTAAGTTTTTGTTAAGTTTTTTATGTTACTGTATTTGTTGCGTATTACATCGAAATATGGATAACCCAGGACCATCCACTTCTTCGGGCATTTTATCGCCTCGAAAGAAAAGACAACGTATTGCTCTCAGTACTACTGAGAAGATGATGACGGAGAATGTATATAAATACATTGTTCAGGAAGAAAACAAGAGTTGCGATCCAAATCTTTTAGAAGCTGCCAGTAAAACAGAATGTGCTAAAAAAACGGCTGACATTCTGGGCATTTCAAAATCAACTGTTTATACAGTTCTAAAAGAAAAATGCGAAAATATGAACTTTCAGCCCCCTAAACCGAAAGGCAGGCGAAAAAGCTACATAGAAAAATTCGATGAATTCCATTTGGAGGCCATAAGACGCAAGGTTCATCAATTCTTTTTCCGAAAGGAAGGTCCAACTATTGCCAAGGTAATCATTCGCAAATCAATATTCACTTTGGCAGATTATTTAAATAACTTGCTGTAGTTGTTTAGGTGCAGAAATCTTGGCGTACGACGTGTTTGTCAATTAAAGCTATCATTACAGTCAAATTGCGTAATTCGCACCAAAGATGGGCCAGCATTCGGGTTTTTCGGAGTTAGTTTGGGCACAGGTAAAGGGGCACGTCGCAAGAAATAACAAAACTTTTAAAATGAATGAAGTTAAAATATTGCTTGGAGAAGGGATAACTAATGTAACGCCACAAAAGTGGAAAAATTGTGTAGACCACGTTATCAACGATGTCGAAACGAAAATGCGCCAACTCGACCATTTAATTGACGACGTATGTGATACATTTATTATACATGTATCGGATTCCGACGATACCATTACCTCGTCTAACACAGAAGAGATTTAATTTCGAATTAAAAAAAATGTATATGAAACACGTATATATACATTTGTTTCGTAATTTGTGAATCCGCCCAGTGTGCATTATACATATTTAATTTTAAGTCAACATTTGAATTGTAGATTTTATACATTTGTTTCGTAATTTGTGAATCCGCCCAGTGTGCATTATACATATTTAATTTTAAGTCAACATTTGAATTGTAGATTTTATAAGTACATTTGAATTGTAAAATTTATAAGTACATTTGAATTGTCAACTTTTGTAAGTTCATCACATCTATTAAAAATCAAAAAGGGAAATTTTGTGGTTTTTAATTCAGTATAGATAATCAAATCCAACTATCATTATTAAAAATGTATATGAATAAAAACGAGTTCAGGTGGTATTGTACATAGTCTACAATAGGGCAATAATTTGAACGTGCGTCTGTAGATACTTTACGAATTGATTTTGATACTCGCGGGCCAAACGTCAAAATAAGAGTAAAGACGGCGATAACGCAATTACTAATCATTAGAATGTTATAAGTCTCACAATTCATACATTTTTTGGAAACTATTATCATCTTTCCAACCTATCGATAAATCTATCGACAATAGCTACATGACTATTTAAAATTTTACGAAAACTGGCAACCCTGCAAATGTCAAATTTTTCCATCTTCAATAAAAACGGACTATAGAATATAACAGAATAGAATAGAATAGAAGAGAATATAACTTATTTCTTGTTATTACAGTACAATAAAAGCAGATGTTACAAAATTTAAAAAGTTCCGCATGTTTTGCCAACAAGCGGCATAGAAATATTAAAATGTCATAATAAATTTTTATCAAAAAAATACAACTACTGTCAGATGTAAGTTAAAAATATTAAAACATGATTTAAAATGTGATTGAATTTAATAAGTTGCCATGTAGATAATCACTAATAGTATAATAAGATTTATCAATCAATAGCGGTGTCTTCATGTTTTCCGGTAGTTTATTATACACATATTTTTAGTGCCACCCGACTATACTCTTTATCAACAAAGGTGTTTCTTGCTCTGACATCCGATAACTTTATAAATTGATGGATGTTCATTTTTACAAATATACATGTTTCCAAAATATATAAAGAGGGCAGAGTTAATATGCAAAGCGAAATAAACATTTGTTTGCAGCTTTCTGTGGGTTTTAGCCCACACATAGCTCTTATGCACCTTTTTTGGGATGTGAATATGTTTTCTCTTTCACAATAATTTCCCCAGTATATAACACCAAACCTTAATGTTGATGCAACTAAACCATGGTAAAGCTACCACTACGGATTCTAGTTTTACTTTTTTAAACAAAGCATAGAGTGCATATGCGGATTTACTAAGTTTCCTACAAAGTTCTTCTGCTTGAAGTTTCCATGTTAATTTATTGCCTAAAGGTATTCCTAAAAACTTAGTGACTTCTAATTTGTCCACATCCTGCCCTTGGTAATTAATATCTAAATTTCCAATTCCAAAACTTTGGTGAAAATGCATAATTTTAGTTTTTTCTAAATTTATTGTTAAATTATTATTTGTTAGACAAGTTAAGATTTTAGCAAGAGCACTATTTACTTTATTTTCATGCGTCTTGGGATCATTATTTTCGGATTTTATTATGGCGAATGGAACCATATTATGACCATCTATTGTTATCAGGAGATCGTTTATATAAACATAGGTCCAAGGAACGCCATAATTTATTACCTTTGGTTCTGATAAGAAAACTTCTTCATATTTAGTTTTTGGACAAATTCTGGTAATTTCGGTGTACTGTATCCTACCGCTTAGATATGATTCCATCAATTTTAATATATTTCCTCTAATTCCGTAGTCGTCAAGCTTTTTTAATAACTTTAAGTGATCTACATAGTCAAACGCTTTATTATATCGGTATATATTGCACTTACCGTTTTCTTTTCATCTACATTCTTCATTATATTTTTAAGTAACTTAAAAATGGCCATATTAAAATTTTATTCTTTCTAAATCCTATTCGTTCATTACATAAAATGTCAAATTTGGTAAGATAATTATATATAGTCATAAATAATATATTCTAATATTTTTGAAATTATTGATATTAATGCTACTTTGCCATATTTTCTTTGCTCTCCTTTTAATGGAAGGAGTTTGATAATAACTAGTTTCAGTTTTTCTGGATAGACGCCCAGGTCAATACATAGATTGAGTATATGGCTTGGAGGACCGGCTATTAAGTTGGCGATAAATTTCACGGCTCTTGTATGGATACCGTCATAACCTACACTCTTCTTGTTTTTCAGTTTCCTATAGCTTTCGTTACATATGAGAGGAAGAGCGGGTGGAATAAACATGGATTGTGAACATTTATGGTCATTATAACTTTCTCTAGACGGTATTGTATCTTCTGACGTTCGGCCTTGGTTGACTTAATATTCATTAAAAGCATTTGCTATTTCTGATAGATTTGTTATAATTTCCCTGTCTTTTTTTATTACTCTTATATGTTCGTTTATTTCCTTTGGACCATTTATTAACCGCCATGTGGCTTGAGATAACCGGATTCATCCCCTAATTTGCCACCATTATAGGTGGCATAAATTTTTCAAATTTGAATAGGACCCTCTACTAGGGTAGCCCCTTTCCAAAAAAAAATCATCGAAATCATTCCTATGTGTCACAGAAACAAATTACTGTTGAATGCGAACCTCCTCCTTTTTTCGGATTCGATTAAAAAATATAAATGCTTTTTACTGCTCTATTCTTCAGTAGGGGGATAGTCTTAATCCAATTTAGCAGTAGTGGGGAATTGCCTATTAAGGATCTGACCTAGATTGCTTTAAAAATTCTCATTTTAAACCATAAGTAGCACTGCAAATAATACCTGGCGTCTTCACTGTGACCCACATCTTCGAAAGCCTTTGTGGCGTCTTTACCTGCATAATCTGTCAGGGCTTCAACACCACCAGGATGCTACAACAAATGAAGAAGTATATTAATATGAATAATGATAAATTATTAATCAAATGAATAATTATAAATATTTAAAACAACATTATTATTGTACTTTTTTAATGATATGAAAATCTAATTATAAAAAATATTGTAAATTATAAAAAAATACAAATGATATCCATAAACAATAAATTTTTTTGTTTCTTTTGTGTTATTGTTAATAATATTAACTTATACTTTGCTGCTTTATGTTATTGTATTCATTTATCAATTGCTTAACGTTACCATCAAATTAAAAGAATACTGGAATGGAAGAAATCATGCAGCCTAAATAAAAGTAATCATAATAAATACACGCAAAATGGTCAAAAAGATTCTGTAAGTTGTAGATGATTCAAGGGCAGATGTTTTAAATAAAGTAATAATATATATCTCCTTATATTTGAGACATGCAATATAAGGAGATATTATTATTTTTATGACACAAGGTCAATCAATGTAATTTTGAAACATGTAAAAAATAATTGTTAGTGACTGGAGATAGGATTCTAGTTCAGAACTAGACCAAGAGATCTTTTGCTTACAATTTTATGTCTCCCAACTCAAATTTAAAAGCCTTGTGATACAATTATCGTTCTTTCACTGCTTTTAGTACAAGTTAATGGTGAGATGGACTTCTGGAGATAGACCTTGTTCAAGAGTCTAATATCTCAATAAGGCTGTTGTATTATAGTTTTATATAAATATTTAACATTTGAAAAAGAAAATAACTATAAATGCAAAAAAAAAGTTTATTCCTAACATCCAAAAAATGTGTGTAAAAAGGAAAATCAATAAAACATTAACATTTAAATTAGTAAAATTAATATAAGTACATACGAATAATTTCATCAATTAAAACAGTTCCTATTCTTTCTCAAATCCCAGATCTCAGCAATGATTACTGGTGATGTTGTTTTCAGGAAACTAGCGTTTTGTTGGTTTCCAACACCAAGTCATTAGAATTTGTTTAAAATGGTGACAAAATATCTTTCATGGGCGACGATGCCGAAGGGCACTGACCTAGCAAACATAACCTTAATTCAAGTTTTGTGTGGACATAGATCCGCCAACATCAGGGTTAGAAGACTCGTCCGCATTTAAAGCCGAGCTACCCTGAAAGCTACATTTAAATTGTCGATTAACACAGAACAAGACACCTACTTCGTTCAAAAAATTTGTAACATCGTAAACATCGTTGTGAATGACGATCCAATACGGTGATCTCTTACTATATCTTTGCCTTGCCACTTGTTCCATTGTTATTTCCTTGGACATTGTTGAGGTTTAGATTTCGGTAACCAGTAACGACGTAAAATTATTTAGAAATTGTTAATTTGCACAGATAAATTTTCGGACTTTTACGTGAAATGGTGCAACACAATCTAGGACAAGCATGACTGACTGACAATGACAACTGACAGATTGTCAGTGACATTTCAATCACATGTGGATTCTTTGGCGGGAATTTGAAGTGAAAGGGCGCTAAAAGTTTACAAATTTAATTTTTTTTATTAAAATTGTCTGCTAAATCCATTTTTCTGTATAAACGTTGTAAATATAGTGTAAATATAACTGTTTTAGCTAATTCAAATGTGAAGCAATCAGGCCGAAGGCGATAACCCCCCGGCCGATGAAATCCCGGGATCCTCGGGCAAAACAGCTTCCAAGAAGAATATATTAGCGGTTGCATTAGCGGTAAGGAAAGTTCGAACTTCACTCCTTACTTTAAACCAAATTACAAAAGACTTTATCTTAAAAATTCCACTAATTACGAATTCAGTTTTTTTGAAAGTAACAATAATGAACGTTTGGGTAATAAGAGTCCCATCTACCTGAACCCAGTGTTGGGCGTTAATCAATTAAATTTCAATCAGAAATTCAAATAGATTAAAAAATCAATTCAATTGAAATCAATTGCGACAAGTCGTAAATTTAATTACAATTGATATCAATTGAATTGATTTTAATTGCAATTAAATTAATTGCAATTAATTTTTTTTAGTTGTTCTAAGAAACAATTGAAACTAACTATTAAAACCGAACGGGTTAGGGGTTGGGTTAGGGGGTCGGTTAGGCTCGCCGGTACTCCGCCGTGGGACCTCGAAGCCGAGGTCCTGGCGGAGGTCCACGCCTACCGGCGGGGAATGAGGGACCGAGGCGAGCGCCCTGCTCCCCAAGAGGTCGAACGGGAGCGCCGCCTCGCGGCGCAGCGCATGCGGGACCGGTGGAAAGAGGGCTTGGCGGATCCCCCCTATGGCGCTACTTAAGTAAAAGGCAAAGGCAGTCTTACGGGAGATAGTTATTTATTGAAGATTGGTACAAGACAGAACCCCGATGCTTAGACTATAGGTCTTATATACTAATTACTATAATGACGTTATTACAATGAAGATTTGCCATTCCGCACTTTACAATATAACTTGCGCAATGGTACAAATTCTATTTTATGTAAAGCAAACATCGTTGTTTAAGGATGCTGAGTTAGCATCCATAACTCCTCCCTCCTTAGAGATGTTTTTTTCAGAATCCAGAACTGGCTTCTTAAAAAAACGTCTATACTTATATAATGAATATAAAATAAGTAAACTTATAATTAAATACAAAATTATGGTCCATACACTAATGTTAAAATGTACTTTGAAATCGGGGGTGTTTTCACTAACGTCCATGAGATGAGCCATTTCTTTTATTTCATCAAAGTTTACTCCACGTAGGTCTACTGCCCTTCTGTTTTCGTTTTTTATATTCTGAAACTGGTGAATACTAGGTATTTTCACCTTTGGTAAACTGTAGACTAAGGGTGTTGTATTTGTTGTAGCTTGTATAACCTTGTCGTTGACTTCAGTGGTACAATATTGTTCAATTGTTAGAAGATATGTTCCTTGAACGTTATATTTTTGGACTTGGTTTTCACATGAGTCTGTTATCACTAGATTGCTTTCTGTATATAGCAACCAAGAATTATCAGTCATATGTTGTATTTTGATACTCTCGATCTTGATTCTCCTTATAGAGCATTCAGTCAGGTTATTTTTTAGAAGTATCAGTTGTTCTATACATGTCTCCATGGGATAGCTGGCTAAGTTCTCATCGTCACACAAGAACAATTGATTATCAGATTCTGTACATTGTTGCACTACGGGTCTGAATTTCGTACCTGCCACTAATAGGTACGGGAATTTTGGGAATAATGTATGTGTTGACAGGGAGATTGGGTCATATATAGGAATTGGAACGACTTTGTAATATATATAAGTATGTGTGTCTACTAATGGTACCTCTAATATAAAATTGATTTTCATGTCAGAAAGATATGATTTTACTTGTATTGCTTGTTCAATTTTAATTAAATTATGTTCGTTTACTTCGTACATAAGATTAGAATGTTTACTTATTGATGTTAGTACATTCAAAAGTTCAGTAGAATTTATAATAGAAGGATGTAGTGTATGTAGTTTACTAAAAGCAATTGCTGTTTCTATTTCGTAAATAATGGTGTATAATGTTCGAAAGTTACTTATAATTTGGCCGTAGCTATTAAGGACTGTTATAACGTTATGTATTTTCATATCTTCGGTCATTAAAGTCTCCAGAGTTTTGGTTTTTCGATCAATTAATTTAATGTTATTGTTCATACCTTCGGCTGCGTTCAGTAGTTTACTGAATCCTTTATTTATTATGGATATCCTATCTTCTTGCCTAATTTCCTTTAATTCTACTTTCTTTATTAAGGAGTCGTATCTTTTTGCGTCTTCATAGTCTAAATTACCGCTGATTAGCTTAACTATAGAACCTAAAGGGTTTATTAAACCCCGCTTACTTCTTTTTTTAAATATTATTTAATTAAATCTATCTTCAACTAATTTCATAATAAAATCTACTTGTTTCTCTAATCCTATCACTTCCCTTCTAGTATCGCTATTGTTTGAAGCTAAAGTACTTAGATTTGTATAAGTTTCTATGTTATATTCTAATTGTTCGTATAAGAACTGTAAATCTATTGTCTTAATTATCTCCCATTGGCCCTTCTTCATCATCGCTGTTCCTAGCTTTACTGCTGCTAGGCCTTGGTTGGTTGCCAGCTTGGTTAGGCTTAGACCGTTTCCCAATGTTACTTGGGCCAGGATTAACATCCACCATCTGCGAAGGACGTTTTATGTTTTTAATAGCGACCTTTGTATCCCTATTCTTTAATTTTACAGGAACTACATTGCGTTGTATTTCCTTGGTTACAACAACCTTTTCGTACCGTGGCAAATGTTTTGCCTTTCTAGTTCTTGTATCTTTAACAAATAAAGTGTCACCGGGTTGTATGTTAGGCGGTATTTCCCCACCTTTTCTTTCCCTGACTTTATTCTTGTCGTTGACTAGTTTCTCCGCAATGTGTTCATACAAATATTTGAGCCGTTTGCGATGATCTTGAATAAATTGTTGCTTAATATATCTTTCTTTGTCTATATCAAATACAGAGGATAATTCGGTGTGGCCAAATGCTACTTCAAATGGTGTACAATTTGTTGCACAGTGAATAGAGTTATTATATGCCATTATTGCATATGACATAACGGATGTGGTCTCCAAGTTTTTATGATCGTTCTTTGCCAATCTATAAACTTCAATTATTGTGGAGTGGAACCGTTCTACTATTGCCATTGAACTAGGGCTATTTGGGGTACCTAAATGTTGTTCGATTTTGTATAATTGAAGCAATTCAGTTATAAGCTCATTTTTGAATTCCGTACCTGAGTCACTATTGATTTTAGTTGGTTTCCCATACATACTAAAATATTTAATTAGTGCTTGAACTACTTCTGGTGTGCTTCTATTAGGGATGTGAATTGCCTGTCCTAGCTTGCTAAATGCATCTACGAGTGTTAGGTAGTATTTGCCCTCTATATAAAGTAAGTCCATAAATACTTCTTGGAATGGTATACTTTGAGTTTGTGTTAGTTGAATATGTGGTTTTATGGGGTTCCTTTCATATTTCATTCTTTTACACTCTTCACATGCACTAATTACTGCCGCTATCATATCTCTCATATTATTTTTCCAAAAATAATGACGTCTTAATTTGTTATATGTTTCGTTTATTCCCCTGTGACACGTTTTTCCTTTGTGGTAGTTCATTATCAAGTTTTTTTGGTCTTCCTCATCTGTTAACAATACCACTCTTTGTGTGCATTCAATGAATTTCTTAATACCTTCTTTGTATAACTTCTTGATCACCTTTGTAAAATCCTCCCGGAATTGATCTTCTTCGAAGTAAATATAGTATCTATTCTTGATATCGATGTGTTTCTTTAGAAAATTCTTGATCAGTTTTGTATTCCCTAATGGTAGAAATACTTCTGTGATCTGCATGTCGCCTTCTGAGCGATCATTTTCACAAATAGCGTTTTTGTACCATCTGTGTATTAATATTTGTCTTGGTTTGACATCAATAGCGTCATTAGTTGATTCTATTGTTTGTATGGGTGACTCATCATCGCTGTCTAAACTAATTATTTCTGACTCCGCGCTGTCTTCTTCTGTGTCGGAAATTTCGATGACAGCTGATTTGAAGGACTCATCCGCTGAAGATAAAGATTTTTCATCATCTATCATATTGATTTTTATCCTTGATAGGGCATCTGCATTGGTATTTTGTTTACCCTTTTTATAAACTATTTCAAAATCATATTCTCCTAGTTCTAGTCGCCACCTCGTTAATTTGCTATTTGGTTTTTCGATAGAGTATAACCATTGCAAAGGTTTGTGGTCGGTTATTATTGTAAATTTCTTACCATAGAGATATGGTCGGAAATATCTTACTGCGTATACGATTGCCAGAAGTTCCTTTTCTATTGTGCTATATCTTATTTCACACTCATTCAAAGTTCGACTTGCGTATGCAACTGGTTTCTCTGCTCCCAAGGTGCCTTGTGATAATACTGCTCCTAGCGCAAAGTTGGAGGCGTCAGTGGTCAATATAAAAGGTTTATTAAAATCTGGATACTGCAGCAGCGGTGCATTCGATAAAATCGTTTTGCATGTTTCGAAGGCTCTTTGAAACTCGCCTGACATGTCGATTTTCTTATTTTTTCTTAAGCATGCCGATATGGGTTTTGTTATATTTGCAAAATCCTTTATGAATTTCCTGTAGTAACCTATTAGGCCCAGGAAACTCTTCACTTCACTTGTAGTTCTTGGTATAGGGTATTCTAAAATTGCCTTGATTTTATCGTTGTTCGGTTTAAGCCCTTCGCTGGTTAAAGTGTGTCCTAGATATATTACTTCTTTCCTTAAAAATTCGGATTTATCCAACTGTACCTTCAAATTATTTACACGAAATCTTTCAAACACCTTTTTTAGTTTATACATGTGTTCCGTGAGGTTGTTTGAAAAAATAATCACAT